ATCTATCTATCTATCTATCTATCTATCTATCTATCTATCTATCTATCTATCTATCTATCTATCTATCTATCTCAGAGATATGATATTTATAAAACGCAAGTAATAATGAACAGCAATGTTCTCAAAGATAGAAGACTACAATTTGTCAGCAGAATGTAGCCATTTTATATCCCATTAAACAACCTGTTGGATCAAACTTTCAAAGACCTTACCAAAATAGAGAAACAGAAAAACCATGGTTGGGCAAAAATTAGGGGGAGTGGTAGCAACTTCTAACTTCATGCCTGCTTCAACATTAATATAGTTTGTGGGAAGTTGGTAGCGAGAATCGGAAATCACAATCATGTGACTGTGGCTGACCACAGCAGAACTGCAATGGCCACAAGTTTGCAAATACAACTAGTCTGAAGATAACTTGAAATTTCAATTCCACAAGAGAAATGGGTCTCTTGTTTGCATTCTTTTAACGCATTTGAGGTATCCTCAAAACTTCTTCCCCTAGCATGCAGTATTTTGCCTACCATATTTTTCGGAGTATAAGACGCACCATGATTTTGAAGAGGTAAATTTAAAAATAGAGTTTTTGCATTCTGCAGGCTTCCCAAACCCTCTGCATGCCTCATTTCTTTTTGCAAAAAAAAGGGCATGCAGAGCTTTGAGAGACTGGTAGAGTGCTCCTGGGGGCTGTGGAAAAACGAGCAAAAATCGGGCCACATTTTGCAAAAAAAAGGCATAGAGAGGCTTTGGGAGGCTTGTAGAGTGCTCCTGGGGGCTGGGGGGGCAAAAACAAGAAAAATGGCCCTTCCCAGCCCCCAGGAGCACTTTGCAAGCCTCCCAAACCCTCTGCACATCCATTTTTGCAAAGGGGGCAGGATTTCAGTAGGCCAAAAATGCTGTATTCAGTGTATAAGACGCATCCAGATTTTCACCCTCTTTTTGGGGGGAAAAGGGTGCATCTTATATTCCGAAAAATATGGTAATTGAAAGTTACAAACAAATGGATAGGAGATCTTTAGTAGGAAGGAGATTGATTTACATGGGACAGTTGTAGCCAAGTGCTTAATTCTCTTTTGAAATAAATTGTTATTTTTTTTCTTGATCTAATTCTTTTTTTTTCCTGTTAGTTTTTTCCCTTTGGAAAAAACATCCTGCAGACAAACTCTCTTGCTTATTATCAAGCAGTCAGTGGATTATTTCATGTGTTGCATATGCACACGTGTTGTGAATCTTTAACTTGGGTAAAGAAAGGATTTATTATACAGAAACAGAAACATTACTGGCAATGAAGAAGGAAAGGATGAAAATAAGATTCTTTTGTTTTATACAAGATAATAAAGGACTATTGTTTGAGCAATTCTGATGTGATCTTTTTTATTTTGCCAATGAATTTTAACCATTATTTTGGTCAGGCGTGGATTTTTCTATCCCACCTACCCTACTTTATATAAGAATTTCATATTCAACACAGAACCCCCAAAGACGAAAAATGTAGATTGGTTTTATAATAGCAGCCACAACATTATTATCACTACCATCACCACTAAACAAGAAAAAAAGTCCGTTCTCTTTCTGAGCCTCAAAGGCAGGACACAAATCTCATACATGATAAATCTAATTTTTTGCTGTGAAAGAAATTAATTACATTAGCTATGCTTATTATTAAGCCACTATTGTTTTTTAATTTTCTATTCTTAAATGCTTTGTAATGAGATCAAAGACATGAGATCCATTCCTTTGAACATTTGGTATCAGTGGAGTTGCACGGCTACAGTTCTTTTCATTTAAAAATAGGTAATTATGAAGAGATCATCTTAGTATTTATTCCTAACCATAATCACCTCTTATCAGAATAAAACTAGATAAGTAAGGAATAACATGAACTAAATCCTCAGCTCTGGGGTAATGAAGAAGTTCTTATTCATTACATGCATTTGTTCTTGAAATAAATAGTGAAGCTCTTTGCTATACTGCTATTGTTTTGAAGGTGTTGCAATTATTAATGACACAAGGATTAGGATGTATGATAGACATCCCAGTCTTTAGCTTGGTGCCTTAATTATTACACAAAACTATACAGTACAGATTTCCATCACAATATTAGAAATAATAACAGCAGAAAATCCTAGGGGCATGTCATTATAATTGTTGTCAAACATTCTGATAATTACATGTCCCTTAGTACAATACTTCTGAGATAAGCAGTTTACTAAAATTTATACTAGATCGTGAGATGCCTTGGAAAACTACATTTCCCAGCATCCTTGTTGCACATGTGGTTTGCCTTTGCCATCATAACCATCAACTATCAGCGCTTCATCTCTACACTTAAATTCTAAGGGAAGGAAAGATTACACAAGCTTCCAGTGATTATAAATTAATATCAAAGCTAAACTTGGGAAAGTGGTTTTTCCCCCCCCTGATAATTGAGAGATATCTTGATTTGACTGAGCCTACTTGAATCAAGTTAAAGTTTTACTACACTGGAAACCACAGAAAACCCTGTGGTAACCCTGTATGGCTACTGGACAGTGTCCCCCCCCCACCCAATAATGGAGCAATCTTAATAGCCTGCTTAGCTTGTAGGACAATTAACCTTTGAAAACGGAAGGTTTCCAAAAAATATTTCACAGGAATATCTCAAAAAGAAGGAAGTCCTTGAGGCATTTATAAACTTAAATTAGCTTTCTATTTTAGGATTAAGTAAAGGATTGCTGAATAACTTCCTCTAGTTCTGAAGAGAACATCACAATTTGTATATGGAATAGAAGGGGCATCTACAGCTCAAAAACAAAATATTAATCTT